CCGGCGTGGGTGCCTGCCCGGGGACGGTGGGGACAAGCGTGGGGCTTCCTGCGAGGCCCTGCCCAGCTGGGGGCATCAGCCGGTGCGCTGATTGCCATCAGTAGGGGCCAGAGTGAACTGGCGTAGCTTCTAGGGCCTCTCGCAGGGCGCGGGGAGGGGGAGTTGTCTGTAACCTCCTGCCCCCGGGCCCGGGCCAGCCCGGGGCGGGGGTACCGGTGCCTCGCAGCCCTCCCTGTTGCCGGGCACGGCGGGACCCGGCACCGCGGGGCAGCGCCATGCTCCGGCGCCATCTTGTGCGGTGGGGGAGCGGCGGCGCGGGGAACTACAGCCCCCAGCATGCCTTGCGCGGGGGCGGGGCTTTGCGCATGCGTGCGCGGCGCCGTCCTGGTTGCTATGGCAGCCGGGCGCAGGCTTGCCTCAGCTCCGGCGGCCTAGGCCGCGACCGGGACCGGGACAAGGCCCGGACACCGGCAGCGGAGGAGTGAAGCGGGGCAGGGAGCCGGCAGCCCGCTGTGGCCGTAGCGGCGGGGAAGGATGAGGAGGAGGAGGCCGGGGCAGGGGCAGGCCCCCGGGGCAGCAGCGGGAGGCAGGGGTAGGGCCAGGGGCCTACAACTTCAGCAGGGTGGATGAAGGCACCCGCCAGCCCTACCGCTATGGCCCCTGCAGCACCCTCGGCATCGCCACCTCCCTCACCGAGCTCTTTGAGTGCATGACCTTGCCCCACAGGCGAGGGCGGGTGGGAGGACAGCCGCAGCCGGGGCTGCCTGGCACTGGCCAGCCTGACAGCCGGGAGGGCAGAGCTACAGAGCACAGAGCCACAGCTCAGGGACCCTCTTGAGGCTGGAAGAGCCAACGTGGAGCCCCCCATGGAGCCAGAAGGTCGCACATCGCCTCTGACCGTGAGGGCCGGTGTTGAGGAAAGGCGCCCGGACCGCAGCCTGCTCTGAGGCTGTTGCTCTGCAGGGGGGAGCCATCCCAGAGTCTTCCCCCCCCCCCCCCCCCCGGGGCCCCCCCCCGCCCGGGGCCCCCCCCCCCAAACGCTGTCGGGCACCCACCATGCTGGGACTCCGCACCTCAAGAGCTGCTGGAGCGTGGCCAGAGCCCTCGCTGCCTTGCGGCCCACCAGGAAAACCCCAATTTGAGCAAGAACCTTGCACCGCTGGGCTCGGCCGGCAGCCCGACCTTTGCACTGCTCCGTCAGGCTCATCCCGCAGCACCCTGGGCCCCAGGGCAGGGGGGGAAACGCCACCAGTCTCTTCACACCCCCTTCCCATGGGGGACATGGGACAGAGGGGAGACACAGGCCACGGGATGGAGCGAGGGGCCGCAGCACTGCCGTGGGCTGCCTGGGTTTGGCGATAAGACAGACCCCGTTTCTTCTTGAAGCCTTTCCTCGCTTTGCCACGGCTTGGGGGGGGGGGGGGGGGGGCTTTCTTTCTCCCCGCCTTCGGGTGGGCTTTGCTACCTCCCTCTCCAGACCCTCTGCCACCCCGAGTAGGCTGGAAACCTCCCTCGTTCTCCCTGCCACGAACACGGGTCCTGGCCTCCAGCACGCGGTGTCCCAGCAGATTTCTGTGGGAGCTGCTGCCGGATGGGCCGGGAGGGCACCATCCCTGCAGAGTGGGCGCCCACCCCATCCCGCCTGCCCCCCTCCCAGGACTCGGCCTGGGCTACTGCCGGCTCCGGCCCCCCGCCACTCCATTGCAGGCTTGGGATAGCACCGGTTCATTTTATTGATTAAGCAAGAAAGACAGCTAATAAATTAAGTAATCAATAACCTAAATAATTAACAAACACATCCTATTATTAATTTATGATTAAATGATTCTGCACACAGCAAAGCTACTAATTATGGCTTTTAATCTTAGGAGTCCCACAGGACGGCTGTTGAATGACAGCTGTCGCTCTTCCCTCCCCGCTGCCTGGGGGGGAAGGTCCCGTCAGGGCTTAGGGGGGGCTGCGCCTGCCAGACCTGGCTCTGCAGGGCGACAGCACTACAGTCTGCACCCCTAATATCAGAAGATCCCCCCCTGTGCCGACCTTTACCTAATTTTATACACTATTCTCCATTTTTTTTCCATTTCTGGGCCCTTTTTGCTACCCTTCCACCTTCCTTTCTCCACCCAAACAGCCCGCTCCTAATTACTATTTCTCCACGGGTCCCAGTTTTGTTTCATCCGTACCCAAATTCGATGTTTTTGCTATTACTACCTAGGTAACCTGAGCTTTATACGGGACTCCCGGCGCGGTTACCTCGAAACGGGCGGCTTCGCTAGCGTCCACCCATCCCTTTTCTCCGGAGCCCTGGGGTGCGTTGGTGCCTGCCAGGGTGGCACGGGCCAGGCGCGGGAGAGGAGAGCAGCGAAATCAGCCCTCTTCCTTCCTCCCCACAGACGCGGAGAAGAGGAAAAATCCCACCTGCAACTTCGCGATGCCGCTGTGGTCCAGAAGCAAGTCCCTGCCACCCGCTCAGTCCCGGACAGGACTGCGGCTCCCGCGAGGTGCCGTGGCACGTCACGGCCAAGGGGTCTGCGTGGGACGAGGCAGCGGCTCGCCGGGCTCGTGGGCCCGCAGGCGCGGAGCCCACCGCCCCCTCGGCAGCATCGCGGGCGGGCAGCAGTGCCCACCGGACGCTCGCGGTGACGCGTGGCACATGCAGGCGGGGACGGTGGAGTGGCAGTGCCACAAGCGGAGGATGTACTCGTGCGCGTGGGTAAGGACACGCGTGGGCACAGGGACGCCTGCTGCCCGCACCCATGGTCCCAGTACGCCCCCCACCCAGACCAACCAGTGATGACACGCTCCAGCCAAGCCCCTGCCAGCCTGGGGACACCTTCATCCCCGGCTCTCCGGCGCTGCTGGCCACCACCTCCCTCCCTTCCTCCCTCCCTCGTGTTACCCCAGGGACGGGGCAAGTGGCACTGCCCGCTCCGTGCCGGCCTTGCGGGCACCCGGATGGGCAGCGACTCGCGTCATGGCTCCGTTTTGATTCTCCTCCAGGTGCAGAAGACGGAGGACAAACCAGCAGCGCTGCCCTCTCAGGTACCAGCAACCCGTGCTCGCTGTCCGAAGGGCTCCCCTCTCCCAGTTTGGCCAGTTCCATTGGTATTACTGGGAGTCCCGGCACCATCACCTTCTGGATCTGGGCTCACCAGCTCCCCTCGCCCTTTCTGTGCCTGGCACTCCCAGGGCTGGCATTAAACTCTGTGTGACCGCACAACCCGCCTGGCTCGCTCTGGGGAGGGGGGTACAGACCCCTGCCCTCAGAGGGGCTTCGCCCCCCGCCCCGGGTGCCCCACAGACAGCACGCGGCAGCCCCCCACTTTCGCTCACACCAGCCTTTAATCCGCCCGGTGCCCCCCACCGGGGCTGCGGCACAGCTGCGGACAGGCCTGGGGGGCAGCGGGCACGGTGTGTCCCCCCCAAAAACTCTTCACTCCGGCGTGGGGCGCGGGGGCTCAGAGCGGGTACTCGTGCCAGAGGCTGCGGGGCAGAGCCGGGGGGTCAGCGGGCACCGGTGCCCCCCACCCCTGGTTGGTGGGGGTAGGTGGGAGGGCGGGGGACACCGGGAGGAGGGACGGGGGTGCTTGGTGCGTCCCCCCCCATCCCGCCACCCCCCCGTA